AATTTCATATAAGCCACAAATCAGGTTATCCTCGCGATAATAACCCTAGCGTGACTTCGTCAACGCATAGGGCTAAACAAACATAAAAAACATGATATCATTACCGAATTTTACACCTGCATTGACAAATTTATTACCATCTTTGACCAACGCACCAGCAAGTTCAGATTTGATAATACTTTGAGTATTATAATATGATGCAATTGTATATGTTCGTTCACCAGTTATTACTATTGAAACAACATCACTTGCAAATCCATGAAACCATGCTGAAAAAATTCTTTATTATTATTATTTAAGGTACTTTGCATTCCAAGAGATTGCCGATATCCACTTAATTCTTTAAATAATTGTTTTGTAGAATTTATGGCTGTATCCATTAATTTAGGTGTTAATAATGCCTGAGTAAAAAATTGCCTATGGTAATACCAACTTTTATAGTTATTATTAATAAGGGTAGCTGCGCAGCGCAGAACCAGTACGATCTCATTCGTGCGTTGTAGTCTAGAGAGTTATTTGTGTAATAATAGTTAAATTACCGTTTATTAAATAACCGATTAATGGATAATTCAAAGTTTTAGTTAGCTTAACCTCAAGCATCACCGTAATAAGTCTCGAAAACGTTGAAACTCAGACCAAATCTCTTTTCGCTTACCAATTCAAGATTCTAAAGGTCGAGTTTAGTTGATTAGTCTTGAAGTTTAGTTAGTTTTAGCATCTGACCAATTAGTGCCCACTTTTTCACGGTATATTAGGCCATGCAAAGTTGATTTTTTGTTTTGCATTATCCGCTGACCTATTTTTTCAATTTTTCAAAATAAATTTTTTTTTTTTTTTTTTTTTTTTTTAAGTTCCAATTGCACCAATTATTCTATTTTTGCTCTATGAGAAAAATGTACTAAATCGGTTTCAGATAGGCACTGGTCAAGATCTGGTTTTGTACGGGTACTGAGTTGATACAGATTTAGTCGTAAATTCATATAGCAAGATTGTCTTCCCAAAAAAGTTATTATTGTGGTATCAGTTGTACAAATTCCTGGAATTTCTTGAATTTCTTGAATTCGGGAATTTAAAGAAAAATAGGAAAAATTAGAATAGTGGGAAAAATCTGAATAACGAGAAAAATTAGAAAAGCTAGAAAAGTCAGAATTCACGTTATTTCTGTCCATGTAAAAATTATTATATATGTGAAGGTTCCCTCCAGAAATAAAATATAACTCTGGGGAGTTCAACATTCTAAGTTAAAGAAATTAGAGTATTTAACTTGTGAATAACTCCGGGGAGTCAAAAGTTCTAAGTTAAAGAAAGCAGAGTACTTAACTTATGGATAACTCTTGTAGTTCAAAACTTTTTAAGCTCTTGAAGTGTTTGCTCTACTAATCCTCCGATAAGTGAAATCTTTAATAACGACTAGGAAAACAGGTGCTGTTAGTGTCCGAAGCTATAATAATTTTTTACAAGATCTTTCGCCTTGTCGTGTTGATCTGTTTATGTGGTTTAAATGCCGATTGGCCCAATATCACGTGAGCAGACCCAAGACATTTTGTGTATTTACGTCTCCATTGTAAGTCCTCCACTACGCTTCGGACAATTAGAATTTGTAACCAAATCCTGTGACATTGTATATAGAAATTCGTGACATAATTCAAAGCTCTAATCCGACACTATTACTAAGAACCCAATTCACTAATTCACTCTAGTTACTCAGACCAAGTCTTTCCACACCTCCATCATTGCCTTACCACTACTGGGGGTTTTGTTGTATTGGTTGTGGTGCTCTGGTTAGAGTAGATTAGTTGGTTTTGGTAGTGTATAGTTGTATTATCTAGACCCAGTAGATATTTTGCTTTTACAACGTACTATCGTAATAACTAATCTAAAATACATGGATTAATGATTACTGTATAAATTTACATTAGTAATCAATATACTATGAACAAACTAACTGTATATGAAGTAAAATTTTGTAAGAAATTTCTTTTGTCAAGATACTTAGAGTGACTTCATATGATTTGTACCGTTTCGTGTATACCATACCACAATCAAGATTATTTTCTTATAGGGTTGCCATTTAATTTTTTCCATAAATTAATCTGGCATCACCTAATAGCAACCTTATTTTCCGGAATTGCCTGATAGAATTGATAAAAAAAAAAAAAATTTGATACCGGCCCAATTTTCTGATTCCGTATTATACAAAGTAAAAAATAACTTTGTATAGCCTTAAATGAAAAGTGAGTCTATTAATTTATTGCAGATTAAAAAAAAAAATCCATGTAATATAAAATAAAAAATCAACTTTGCCTTACTTTTAATAAGAAAAGATAGCCTCATCATAATTATAGTAATTCAATTTCAATGATCATATGTAATCACAACCC